TTGGTTCACTAAGACTTATTCCATAGTACAATTTATCATCCCTCTTCAACCTGCATCAAAAAAACTAGAGACTGATCACAGTTCAAATACCTGTCAAAGATTCTAAATGCGATACATATATAAATACATTTCTATATACATATGTATAATTTCTTTGATATTTTCCTCGCTCATAGAGTGTAATATATGAATACCATCATAAAGTGCTAAATTGTTTATTTGTCTTTCTGTTTTTTTTTTTTTTTTTTTTTTTTTTTTTTGTGCGCGCGGGTGGTTGCTTTATGGCGGCCATTCCCATTTATCATCATTATTCACACACCTTTCGGACGCAATTTTCCACTTGCGCCTCGACTCGTTGGGAAAAACGATTTTCCAATTTTCCAATTTGTTTATCTTGTTTTTTCTTAGCATAAATTGCATTTAAATGGAAATTATAGCGTGATGTGATCTCGTGTTGAGATCTCTGCCCATCACTGTGATATTGTAGCTGACATTGTCGCTGTTCACTTTTTCAGCTCAAAGTGTGTCAAACTGCATTAGGCAATTGTCGCTAGTTTTAGGTGACTGGCCATGTGACCAGTTAGGCCCTAAGAGCAGTCAGCCCAAGGGGCGACATGAGGTAATGAGGGCGTACACGTGGAATAGGCTGCCAAATGCATTGTTTATGGACTCTTTGACGTTATTCGCGTGTACGTCATTATATATTTACGTACAACCGCATACCCTTCCTGCGCTGTTGTCAGGCCTGGCACCCTTAGAGAAATTTAAAATGAAAATTGGGGGAAATTAATTGATTTTTTGAAACCGAATAATAAATGCATTATAAGAAACAAAATACTGGCAAAGGAATTCTCTAGGTAAATTCAAGGAAAACAAAGTAATTGCAATTGCAATTGATTGCCTTTTACAGTATTTCGATTGCAGACTTTAAACAACAAAAACAAAATTTCTTGATATTATATGCTAATATAAATATATACTAAATGGCAATCATTAATGACTACCTTCAGTGCGTCACACATGCCGCAACAAAATGCAAATGCCCATTAGCAGGTCTATAAATGAAAACGTATGTAAATTCCCGTCTGTCTCGCTGTTCGCTGTGTGTGAGTGAGTGTGACCAAAACAAAGCCAAAGAAATGTAGAATAGAATTTTCTTTTTGTTTCTTGTTGAATTTGTGCAGCTGCCCAAAAGAAACACTTTTATCGCTCACTTCTCATTCAAGAGTCGAGCCCAACGCGTCGACGCGTCGTCCAATGAATCGCAGTTGCAATCACTTGCCAAACATATAGTCGACATATACATATACATATACATATACATATATATAAATATATGTATAACTAGGCTATATATTAACGATCGTTTGGTTAAAACGCGATCCCATCACCATTTTTGACGCAGTTTCCCAATCGCTGGCGTTTCGAGTGCTTCAATTTTCGGTGCGGTGAGAGCGCGTTCTGTGTTCCGTGTTGAGCTTGAGAGGTAAAAAAAAAAAAAACAACAAAAGAAAATTGACGGGCGGAAGTGTCAGTTGGATGTAGTGCATACGTAACCCATAATACCCAAACACACAGAGGAGAGCAGAGCAGAGCAGACGTGGCAGAAAAATCGAAATACAACTTAAGCTCTTAGCAGTTGTTGTTTTGGTTCTTTGGCTTGCATTGTGATTGCACTGCTCTGGTTGCCTCCGGTTAGCCCCAGGTTTTTGCCCGGTTTCCCGGCGGGCCAAGCACTGAGTCTGTCCCGCTTCGCTTCACCGGGCATAATTGAATTTGCGCGGCGGGAAAGGTGTAAGGGGCGGCACTCTGCGCGTATAGTAAATTGACCTTGTCTAATCCTCAACCACCCAACTTAACCGGCAGGTTGAAGGCAAACCACTAAACACGGCTACAGCGGTGCAACGCATTCAGCAACTGTTGATGCAACAGCAGCTCAAACTGCTGCGAAAATTCCATCAAGTGACTGCATTGGCAAAACGTTAAGCATACGCCCCGTAGCCCCGTCGGACAAGCGAATTCAAAGTGAAAGTGAGAACGTGCTAGTGTGAGAGTCAACTAAAGTGTGTGAGAGAAAGGGAGAGAGAGAGAAAGAGTTGAAAGTCAAGTGCAAAACAAAAAGTCAGAGTGCAAGCGTGCCAATAACCAGCATAAAACTGGGTAACTTTTGGCTTATAATTAGAGGTAAGTCCATGTCCGGCGACAACTATGTGAAGCACAGCAAAAGCAACAACAAGCGACGACAACGACACCCGACATCAAGCGCCTAAATATAGTTATTAAAAGCTCATTAATAAATAACACATGTTTACACAACTGCCGAATGCCAAACGGCAGACAAATTTATTTTTTCGCTGTGACTATGTGAATGCAATTAAAGGGAAAAATACGATTTCTAGTATAGCCAAAAATACAATTCATATTTTATGCATATTATAAAGGTTTTCAGTTAGATTAGCTATGATCTTTGGAGGTTTTTTTTCCTAACAATTTATGCTTCTTAGTTTGGCATATTTATTTTGATTGGTGCTGCATATCGAGCTAGTGTTGCTAACTTCCAGCTGTATATACTATTTCCTGAAGTTAGACTATATTCAAAGTATTCCTTGGGTGACAAGAACTAAGTGAAAATGACAAAAGAAATAAAAGAAAATAAATAAAAGAAAATAAATTTTAAAAAACATAAAATGAAATTAAACATAAAAAATTAATTTAAAATTTGAAAAAATTTTTAAATTGTATGAGAATTTAAAATAAAAAAAAATTTAATAGACAATTTTTTTATTACGTCACAAATTAGAAAAATAAAACAAAATCGACTTGTTAAAAATTAAATATAAATTGCTTAAAATTTAATAATAAATAACATAAAAAATAAAAAATTTTTTAAACATTGAAACAAATAATTTAAATACCATTTATAAAAAATATTTAATGAAATAAAGAAGCACTGACGATAATGAGCATTAATTCCAGAGTGAAGCCTCTGTCACGAGGGAAAATATATATTCAAAGAACATATATTACCAAATATTATAAGCAATTTATATTTTTCACATGTCAATCAGTAAATGTGTCAAAAATATAAAAATAGAAACATATGGTCTATAGGACTATACGACTATGTTTGTACTAGCATCAGAGTTCTCAAATAAATTGTGTTGGCTAGTGTGTGCGATCGAAGGACACGCTTAAGATAAGAGCTGCGCACATTAACAACTTGTTCGGAGCTAAAACAAAGTCAAAGCAGGAAAACTATAAATCGAGAACGAGGACTTGAAAGCAATCATTAGGAGAACACGCCAGCTCACACCGAGAGAGGAAAGTGCTTGGCTCAAGTGGGGGGAAGTTCACAAATGACCTTCGGCAGGGACACGCAGAACTTATCGTGCTTAACGGCAATACTTATATATATATATATGTATTTATTATATACCCGAATTAGGAACTACAACAAACTTAATTGAATTGGCAACCATTTTGGGTGGCTGTTCAGCTCTTCGGGATCTGTGTTTGTGTGGCGCCCGCTCTAAGGGTGCAGCAGCGAATGCCAGGTTCAAGTTCAAGTTTGTGGCACATAAATAGATATAGATATATGCACGCCAATAAATCGCCTCTGACAGCGGACAAAATGTATATCAAAGCGTAGCGAACACCCGATGGCTATGTCAGATATTTCTATGCAAATCTATATATACACATATATGTATATCGAAACATATAGTCGGCTGCATATCTCGCAATTATCTTAATTATTTGCCAGAGGATCGGCGGGAGAAGCAGACGTTCGTCATGCAGTTGGCACATGAACATAGGCCCCATAACCGGATCGATGCGACCCGCAACTTGAAAGCATATACATACATATATACAGACTTACATGATATATACAGACATATATAGAATTCTGCCCTATAACGTTGGACGTCTGCCCAAGCGCTAATGTGGAAAGGAGGCGCAATGAGCTCCTCGCTGACTGGGCACATGATTTAGCTAAGTGACAGCTTGACAGGAGCCGTCGCAATGGATCGATGTGTGGGGTGACCTTTGGGGCAAGTTAGACAAACTGCACCACCGACCACCACTGTGCCACCACCAGTGCACCACAGCTAACAACTGCCGGGTCATTAGTAGCGAAAGCCTAAGCCAAATTATAGACACACTACAGAAAGTTATTCGTTTGACTTAAGTTATTGACAGCTTTGTGAATACATCAGAAATGCCGTGAATACTGTTTATATATGTATATATATTTATAGGACATAAACTAATATAATAATAATATAATATTTAATAATAAATTATTTTTACATATATAATGAACTTTAAGCTATGAATTGCTCAGGCAAGTTTTATAGGAAAAAAAAGAAAAATAAAGAAGAACTAGGTCAAGGCTCTAAGCAGCTGCTTTGACAGCTTGAGTTTCAGTTGTGTGGTACAGATATAATTTTATCATATAACCAGACACACAAGGTTAAACTTTATCAGCAGAGCTATTACGATAAGCTCCAGATTATATTACTATATGTAAATTATATATAAAACAAATTGCCTGTCAATGTCAGTTTTCAAGTGGCTAACAAAGTAATGAAACTTTCTAAAAGATCATAAAAATGCGATTAAATTGACGAAACTAAACTAAGGACTGACGCACAGCTGTTGAGGTAGGAACTCCGATACCCGCTAAGGCTAATCAATTGTAGCTCTGACTTCGGTTTGGAATTTTCCGCTTGAAGATAATTATGAATGTCAATCAAACGAGCTGCAAATGCGTGTTGCCTCAGAACTCAGAACGCAGTGCCCCAATTTTCGTTGCCGGCATTTGAGAGCGAGAGAGAAACAGAGTGCGACAGACTGAGAGCGAAACAGAAAGAGAGAGAGAGAGAAAGAGAGAGAGAGAGAGTGGGCGCGAGAGTGTTTGGCGTTGCAAGGGATTATTATAGCAAGCGAAACTTCGCTCTCTCAGCAAGGACGAAGCATAAAAGCGAGCGACAGGCCAAACGATGCGCATTCACTGGAGCTAGCTTCGAGTCGACGGTTCGCGCAGCGGAAACGGAAACGGAAGTGAGAAAAGCCAAATAAGTCGAGGAGAAATCAACAGTGGCAGCAGCAGCCAAACCAGACGCAACTCAATAAAGAAAAAGTGCATAGTGAAAACGAAAGCCAAAGAACAGTTTGTGCACTTAAAGACCAGTTAAAGCCAACGAGCCAACGAGCCAACGAACCTTGAGCCTTGAGCCTTGGGCGACCGCAAACGAGCTACTGTGAATACCTATTCACAGTTGAGTGGGCGCTGAGGCGTGACACAGATTCCGATTGAGAAGGGAGCCGTAGAGTCACAGAGCCACATTCGAAGACTGCACCAAGCAGCTGCAGCGGCTTTTATCGATTATTTCGAGAGACAGCGACAGCGGACTGAGCAGCCGTTGAGCAAACGCAAACGGACGCAGTTCGTCCGATTCTAGGGAAAGCGGCCCAGTACAAAACCACTACAACGGAGCCATTCAGCGAGCGCAATTTGGTGCTAGGCGCTGTCCGAGACGCCGCCAACAGTAAAACACGAACATTGACGCTGAAAAAGACGACGCCACATCGATAGAGGCTGCACTGAGAGCACAACTGGGAACAGGGAACGAGAACGAAAACGAGAACGGGGACGGGAGCCAGCCAGCCAGCCAGCCAAATGGCTTACCTAATTAACATACTCAAGTTCAATGTGAAGTACTTAAAAAATCAATAATTTGAGCACAGTCTGACAATTGTCATCCATCACACTATATACACACAGACAAATATACATACATATATATAAACCCTTATATATATTAAAGTAAGTGCTCGATTGGGGCATTCACACACACAAAAACACACACACACGCAGACACTCACACGTACGAGTTCCAGGACTTCCTCGTTTCCTCCACATCCCGCTGCCGTGAACGTCTACTTTCTATAGCCGTCTCGCTCGCGACTTGTTGTTGCTTTGCTGCAGCGATTGCTGTCCATTGCCAACGCTCGACCTGTACAATGGAAAAGTCTGGGAAATTTTCAGATTACCTCTTCGCCAAAATGGGTCCACCGAATATGACGGCAGCCGTGCACGGCACTGAGCTGCCACCGAAGACCACGGAACGCTGCGATGCGCCCCTCGAGCTAACTGGCTATCGCAAATGGCTGAGCGATAATCTGATGCTCCTTGTCACGCTCTCCGGCGTCATGCTGGGCGTCATTTTGGGTAAGTCTAACGAAATGCATAACATGGCATAGGAGGGGTAAGCCCCATCCATCCATTATTGATACACCGCACGAAAAATAATGAATATTTCATTTTTTTGGTTTACGGGTTAAGCATAACTATTCCTATTTATTTTTATTAAATTTGCATACTATTGAAAACAAAGCTCAGTATATTATAAATGTATTCAAGTGAATCATTTATTAAAGTAAACAATATTTAATTTCCATTATAGTTTTTTTTTTTTTTCATATTTTATTTTAATTCATTGCTTAATGACTCAACAAATATAATTAGTAAAAAATTAATATACTTATTTTGATAAACAAATATTGTAGTAAAAGAATAGAAATCCTACCTAAACCTAAACCTAATTAAAATTTAATAAACAATACTTATGTAGACAAACGAATAGTAAGATAATAGAAGTCCTATTTACTGATAGAGCATATGTCATAGAGTAAAAAATTTGCACTGCTTGCTATAACATTGTTCTAAGTACGTATATTTTAAAAGACTTTATTCTCATTTATCTTTTTTGCTCCAAAGGCCTTTCGTTGCGTCCGTTGCAGCTGCACGAGGACTCCATTATGCTGATCTCGTACCCAGGCGAGCTGTTCATGCGTGTGCTGAAGCTGATGATACTGCCATTGGTTATCTCCAGCCTGATTGCCGGCTCGGCTAGCCTCAATGCCAAGATGAATGGCAAAATCGCGCTGCGCACTCTCGTCTATTTCGCCACGACTTCGTTGTTCAATGCGGCGCTGGGCATTGCGCTCGTCATGCTCATCCATCCAGGCAATCCGGACTTGCACAATGCAGACGATCGGGCATCGGACAAACGGGCTGTTAAGTTACTGGACAGCCTTTTGGATTTGGGCAGGTGAGTGAAGCGAATCGCGCGTAAAACGCATGTAAAACGCGCGAAACTACACTGCTTGTAAACATACAAATGAAAGCAGTTCGGTTAGAGTTAACAGTGAAAAAAACTTCCTGTAGTTTAATCTGCTCCGTAAATTATTTACAAATGAAAAGAATATATTAGTTTTGTATAGTCCCAGTCTTACTTTTATGATATTATATATCTGAATATGTGACATCGTGGGCCTATGCTGAATAGTCTGTAAATATTCTTGTCAATGTACACTGCTTAAAGCTATCCACTTATGATACTCTTCTATATAACTATTCGATACACTGCTTGCAGCTAACTGCCGTCTCTCATACACTGCTTGCAATAACTGCTAGAAACTCAAAATATACCAAATATACCTCTGCTTTCTCTTCAAGTAGTTCAAGCTGCTTTAAATAAGCTATTTTGATTGCAGAAACGTTTTTCCGGACAACCTATTCCAAGCATCGATACAACAGGCGCACACCGTCTACCTGCCCAAACCGAGCGTTTTGCATAGCTTGAATGACACAGCCAACGATACAGCCGTAGGCATCGTGCACGGCGTGGAAGCACAACGTCAAATTCCGGAGATGGAGCCGGTGGTGCTGGTGAGGGATGTGCAATATCGCAGCGGCACCAATACGCTGGGCATTGTGTTCTTTTGCCTGGTCTTTGGCACCGTCTTGGGCACCATCGGACAGAAGGGTCAGGTGGTTGTCGACTTCTTTGCTGCCGTATTCGAGGTGATCATGAAAATGGTGACGTGCGTGATGTGGCTAACGCCGGTGGGCATCAGTTCGGTCATCGCTGGCAAAATACTGAGTGTCGATAATCTGAGCCTGGTGATGGCCCAGCTGGTGTGGTTCATCATAACGGTGGCCATCGGTGTGGTCATCTATCAGCTAATTGTGATGCAGTTCATCTACTTTGTGTTCGTGCGACGTAATCCCTTCAAGTTCTACAAGGGCCTCATTGAGGCCATGCTAACCGCCTTTGCCACAGCATCAACGTAAGCCATTAAAATCTATACTCTCTGCTCTCTTTCTGTCTCTCTCTCTCTCAATTTCTTTGCTGAGAGATATAAAGCCCTTGTCTCTATCTCTTTCTCTGTGTGGTTGCGAACGTTTAACATGTTACAAGTATTTTTCCTTCTTTTTGGTTTCCAAACGATTTGATTTTCCATTCGTTGAATTTTTCTTTCGAAAAAAAACAACAACTTTTTTGTTTTGCAAATCACAAAACTCACCAAAAACAACAACAACACATACTGAAACAACAACAACATCCCAATCGAATACGCATTTGAAATCGTTTCGAAACTCATGTGAAAACTGATCTGGCAACGCCTGCAGCGCCGCCGCTCTGCCGCTGACATTCCGCTGCATGAACGAGAAACTGCGCATTGATCCGCGCATCACACGCTTCGTCCTGCCCATTGGCTGCAACATCAACATGGATGGCACCGCCCTCTTCATAGCTGTCGCCTCCATCTTCATCGCCCAGATGAGCGGCATGGTGCTGGGCTTTGGTGAGCTCTTGACCGTGCTGCTGACCTCCACGGCGGCCTCCATGAGCTCGGCGAGCGTGCCGAGCGCAGCGCTGGTCCTGCTTCTAGTCGTCCTGACCGCCATCGATGCACCCGTACAGGATGTGACATTGCTCTTCGCCGTGGATTGGTTTGTGTAAGTAGAGCTATATAAGTATAGATATTGTGGAAATTATCATTTTTCTAATCGAAGTGACCTTGAAATTCAAAGGGCCCTGGCCTCCTTTTAGAGATATTCTGGGTGATCTTCTAGACGGGCACTTCGACTAGACCTTTCTTACTTTCCTTACTGTAGTCTATTCTTAAGCAATCAAAGTTAAATTCTTTAATTTGCCACTTCACTTCCCATAGCTCTCTGATTAGTCAATCCCTATATACTCTATTGGTGCGCGGACTTATAGATTCCTGTTTTGCAGTGATCGCATACGCACAACCAACAACATGCTAGGGGATTGCTATGCCGCCGCTGTCGTCGAGGAGCTATCGCGCAAGGAGCTAATGGCCTTGGATGCTGCTGCTGTCAATTACCAGGTAAAATAGAGCTCCAACTCCCACTGGCATATATCTAAATCGATTTTCCTATTGATGAAGGATATGCCCGCTGGTACACCCAATGGGCATCATGTGGGCCTGCTGGAGGGCCAAACCGAGCTGGAATCACCCGGAAAATGTCAATTGAATGACTCCGTAGTCGTGGACATGAGCGCCGTAATGAATAATGTGAATCTACAGCAGGAGCAGAGCAATCGTCGGGTCTAAGCGATTGAACAGGACTTTAAGCAGAAGCACCAATAAGCACGTAGATTACCACCAATAGACCACAGTGTTCCCCCGATAACAACAACAACAACAACAAAAACACCTTTTGATAAACTCTTTTTTGATTTTTTGATGAAGAAACTTTTCAAAATATGAAAACAAAAACAAAACCAATATACCCTGATTTCCCATTTTCAATGGGCTCAGGGTATAATAATTCAACATTTATAGAAATGTCAATCCAACTGTTTGTGAGACTGTCCAAATAGAATTTTGTCTATGATTTAAACCCACCCTGAAAAAGAATGAAGAAGATAGTGAAAACTATATCAGATAGACAAGCATACACATATAGCTGTGTTTCCATAAAAGATCTGACCAAAATATCAATAGCAATTACTTAGGCAGATGCAAATATACACGCGAGGATCGAATCGGATCGGATCGGATCGAAAGTAAATATATATACACATAACAAACATAATAATAGATTACGAATATAGTAGAGGCCACCTGCAAGATTCATATAACACATATATAGGCAGTTATATGAGTCAATTAATAGGCGTATACGTATATATAATTTCGATATGATATGCAATGAAAGTAGTAGCAACAAAATCTTATATTATAAATATATACACTCAACTAATTTCAAGAGAAGGAAATGGGAATGGATTTTTGTGATGTGTTTTAAACTATATGCATAATCTGTATGGGTATTATTTTATAAGCGCCGCGGCTAGGGTTGGCCAGGCGACCTATTTTTGTGATTGTGTCATTGATGGCAAGACGGGAACTTTTTAAAAAACAATTATGATTTAACAAACATTATAATATACAATATATACTATATTTATATTGAGAGACATTTTGTTTTTCTTATGTAATGCAATTTGTAAGTGCAAATGCGCAGGTTGTAAACGAAGTTGGCTTAGTTTTCGCTTTGGTTGGCTGCGAAACCCACCTCAGTTCAATTGATTTTGTTTTAGACCACACTCACCTATATATAACAATTTATATACATATGATTGTATATCCCTTATGCATACGTAGACTGATAGTAGAATTAGTGTGATTATATTGAAACATACATACATACAAATACTTACTTATAAAACATACCGAAAAACCATATCCAACATTCGATTTGTACGCATACGCTGAATACAATAAAATAATAAACAGTTATGTTAATCTATAAAAATTGATTTATTTACGGATCGGTCAACAAGTAATTCACTTACGAGAGTGTTTAGAACTATAGAACGTGTTGCTATCCGGTTTTGGCTTCGTTCTGTGTCTATCTGATTGCAAACCTGCAATAGTTTGAAAAGCATTTTTGAAACGAATTATAATAATAATCTAAGACTATTTTAACTAATGCTATACAAATGGCATTTTAGGATACCTTAATATATCTATATTTGTATGTATACTTATATTATCGCTATGTATATGCATTTACTTTTAACTCATTAAGCGATTATAATATTATTCATTATTCATCATTATATTAGCAACACATCATCTGACTAGTCCTTTTCATATCTATATTTATTCCCATACTACATATATTTTATATATATATGTGTCAACAATTGAATCTATGACTATACTTTATATCAATATAAATATATCTTTACTTAATTCACTTCTAATTCATATCATCTTGCATTCACTGACAGTCTCATGATTTATCGATGTTAGTCTAATGTTGGCTCGTAGAAACTTAATATATAATATATATCTCTAAATACAACTATTTTTAACTATTGTAAGTCCACGTATATATCATATCATCTTACACTATCTGGCAATCTCGTGATTTATTGATACGTATTAAAAAATTACTGCATAATACTCATTCTGATATTTTGATTACTTGCTGTAGAGCATTTTAGAATTGCATCTATATCCATTGTTAATCCACTTAGATGTCATATCTTCTTACACTCGCTGGCAATCTGTTGATTTATCGATACATTTACATAGCACTGCAATCGATATACATGTAAGCCCTATTGTACACTTTTCGACATTTTGATTAGTTGCTGCGCTGAAGCGGATATTTGCCTATCAACATGGCCATAAATCGTGCGATCGATCGTTGGCTCGATCGATCCGATGGCTGGTTAAATAAGAGTGTATGAATCATCTACATGTTTATTCATTCTAATAATTCAACGCCTGCACGGCACGTTGCTTCGAGTGGTTTTTGCCCAGGCCAACCAAATCGGGGCTTATATAATTATATAGACACAAGTCGTATCTAATATAAACACTTATATGCAAACAACTGGAGCAGATTTTCAATTTCAAGTCGCAACCAGACCTAAGATAAGGCCACTCGACTCACTATCAGCTGTGCAACTCCGCAGCCATGTCAGGTGTCAATCCACAGCACCACAGACTACATAGATTCGCATACATACATAACATATATACATATGTATATACAGTGAAGCTGAATGCACTTGAGGCCAACTGCGAACTGCGAGCGCAGGTGAATGAATCAAGCACTGAATAAACAAATGAGCTGAAAAACACATGGTGGTTATATTTTTATGTAGGTATATACCCTAACAATGTGGATATATTTCTTTTTCCAAATAAATTTCTGTTCATATACATATTCGTATTCATATTCGTATTCATATTCATATTCATATTCATATTCACATTCATATTCATATTCATATTCATATTCATATTCATATTCATATTCATATTCATATTCATATTCATATTCATATTCATATTCATATTCATATTCATATTCATATTCATATTCATATTCATATTCATATTCATATTCATATTCATATTCATATTCATATTCATATTCATATTCATATTCATATTCATATTCATATTCATATTCATATTCATATTCATATTCATATTCATATTCATATTCATATTCATATTCATATTCATATTCATATTATTCATATTCATATTCATATTCATATTCATATTCATATTCATATTACATTCATATTCATCTTCATATTCATATTCAGATTCACACTCATATTCATATTTGTGTTTAGTTTCATTTTCTTTTTCACACCAGAGTATTCAATATTCGACTTTTGCCAACAACTGAATTCAACTGGAAGATCGCGTCGTCTCTCTGTGTGTGGTGTTGCCGAGTGCTGTGCGTTGTTGCGCGGTGGTGCTTGGTGGTGCTCTTTGTGGTGCAGTATCGTATCAAAATTGTGCGCAATTGCAAGCCCAACTGTCGGCTCTTGCCAGTCCAACTGTCTCGCTGTCTAACTGTCCCACCTGTCCCACTGTCTCACCTGTCCAGCTGTCCCACTGGCTGACTGGCTGACTGCTCTTGTCGCGTTGGCTGTTGCTTGTTCGCTGGCGTTGGAGTGTTTGGCGTCTGAAGGTCTACTTGGCAGCAGCTTTGGAGTGTGTTGGCGTTTTCTTCGTCGTCGCCGCCGCCGTAGTTGCTGCTGTTGCTGCTAAAATGAAATACGAGTGCAAACAAAAGCCACAACTGCTACAAGAATGCATATTGAATCAAACTAGCCGAAGCTCAGATACCCTGTACAAAATTTGGGTGAATTAGGCAAGGCTAAATTGGCTAAGTGGAAGAATGTATGTAGAAATGGCCGAGATATAGAGAAAGATGTAGAAAGATTTTGAAAGACAGAGAGAGCGAGAGAGAGAGAGAGAGAGAGGAGACATTTATGTATAGAGAAAGTTATAGAGAGGGGAGGTGGAAGAAGAAATTGTTGTATCGAACTATAACTTCATACTGCTGTTCGGAGATAATGAGAGGATGTCAAAAGATGTGGAGAGAAAGAGAGAGAGTGAGAGGGAGAAAGATGGTCGCATGTTAGACTTGACTCTAGAGAAATCCTTGCACAAAATAAAGCATTATCCGACTCATCCACTATTTACGATGTATAGAAGTATTCACACTTGCTAACCTAACTGCAAATTATGCCAAAGCTGATGTATTCTGCCCGTAGAGTATTTTCCATAAAAGCTCTAGATCGAGATCAGTCAGATTGCGGCGCAGTTTAAAGAATAATGGGCCAGTACACACACACACACACACACTCACACATACATATATATATGTGAATACTCATTTGAGCACTCAAACGAATACCCATATGAATATATATGCATGCATGCATGTGCTTGTTAAGCTGTGTTTGTGTTGACACTTGGCGAATATGTTAGGTAAGCAAAGCATCTAAAGGCAAATAAAAATCGTGAAATGAATGTGCAACAAGTTGACGCATTTGCATAGCTGCAGTTAATTAATTCAATTAGGGGAGTAGCCGCCGTCGGGTGTTCTTAAATCGAATCTCACTTTCGTGGCAAATGCTGATGCTTAAGCTAATACCTAAAGCTGCTGCTCAAGCCCCAGCCGGATGATTGAGTGCTTGCGGAAGCTGTTCGCGTGTTGACAATTGACAGGTAGCTTATCGCATAACAGACGGACAGAAGATAGATAGCATCTAAAATATATGCCATATATGGGTGTTAAGAAAACAAGTTGTTTGCTAAAAAGCTATCGATAAAGGCTTGGCGTTAATATAAATCGGTAGTGACAATAAAGTCCTTAGATTAATATGATTTATACTAGCGTAAAAAACATAAAGTTTTGCTAGATTTTGCATGAACATGTTCGTTGGAATTTAAAAATGAATAGTTTTATATGGAATTATAAACATTTATAAAAACATACTATCCGTCTATCCATAGTTTAGATTCATTTGAAGCCACTGACACTGAATAAGCATAGAATCGTTCAGTTGTGCTCATTTTGTATGTCTGTAGCTTCGTAATATTTCAGAACTTAATTAACGTATAGCTATGGTAAATTGCTAGGAGAAATGATATCTGATAATAGATAGACATTAAAGCTGTTAGCTGCTCAAAGTTCTTATGAATTCAATAAAAATGCATAGACCAATTCATATTTTATTCAGCTGCTGATATTGCTATCGAAATTGTCATCGATAACTTGTGAACTCTGGCTAATCAATTAAATAAATGAAAACTTGGTAGCTAGCCAATCGACAAGCGACAAGCTCAGTTGTAGGAAATCCATTAACAGGTGTCTGAAGTGCATAGATTGGCTAGATGGAACACCATTTTAATTGAGCATCAATTATCGATAGCCTGTAATTAATGGCATGTTGTGACGATATATTCAAAAGTTTTATTAAATATCTTGCCACTGACTTAGGGAGAGAGAGAATAAATCTCGATTTCTCCTCAACCTTAGCTTGATCTCTACACGCCCTGGATGGCTTAGCCGAACTCTTTGATACAGTTGTAGCTGCATGTAGATAGATTGATAGATAGATGGATAAATGAAGCAGTAGATAGATTGCTGTTCTAATCATACTAGGCGCTTAACTTGTACTGGCCTGCTGGCTCTTGCCCCGCGGCTGTTGGCCGCTCTGTGCTACAGTACCTAGCTGAGCAGGGAGCAGGGTAGGACAACGTGGACATGACAGTTTATGGGCAATCTGTGTGCGCGCACAGAGCGTGGCGTAGCTGTGGCTCCTCTATAAATTTGCAATCAACTTTTATCAGGCTGGCCCCAGAACGTGCCAGCGCTAACGTTTCTATTCACACGCCTCGACTCGGGAACGCAAACGGGAACGGGAACGCGATTACTTCACGGTCAAAAACCTGGAAGATCGGCTGCCACTGCCGCTGCTGCTGCCGCTGCTGCTGCCATTGCCGCTTCTGCTGATGCTGCTGCTCCAGCAGTGATAGATTGGCCCACATTCGCTGTGAGTCGCGTTTGGCTGCCAATTTTACAGGCAACGTCCGTAGCAGCAGCAGCAGCAGCATACCCCCTCCCCTCTGCGCTCGCCACACCAAGCCATATACTTAGTTGCATTCATCGTCATACGTTGCCGCCGCGTCATAGCCGTCGCCTTGGTAATCTAACCAAATTACTGTGGTGTTCACAAACACGTTCTCTAAACGGTTTCATAATAACAACGCTGCCGCAGAGCTCAAGAATTTCTGCGGACGTTTCCAGCTTCCTTCTCATAATGTGAATATGCAGCTAAAGCTCATCTCAAGCAAGGTTTGTGTATGTATGTGTGTGTGTGTGTGTGTGTGTGTGTGTGTGTGTCGGTGCAGCGGCTATGTTCTAATGCAAATTGCAGTAATAATTGGCCTATTATGCCACAGAGCCAGGCAGT